GTCGAAGGAAGTGGGGTCTGGGTGGAGCATCTGCTGCTTCCGATGACAAAGGTACCAGCAAGCCCTTTGGGTCTGCCTCCCACCCACCACCACGGCCTCCTCAGACACGTCTGCTGAAAGCGCCCACTAGCACGGTCTCCACCAGAATCCGAGTCCAGGTTACAGGTGACTTGGAGTTCATTGAGGAAGTTCCTCTCCTCCTGTTTTCCGGCTATAGTCCAAAGAGCCTGGCATGTCGGGAGGGAGGGCCATTTACCATCCTGCCTGGTCTCCCGCGTCCCACCTGGAAGACCCAGGGGAGAAAGGCCAGGCTCCGTTCAGGGCTACAAAGCAGCTGTTGTCCGTATCGAGCCAGGGTACCCGGCCTGGGCAGTTCCGTGTGCACCTCCTATCCTGGGCTGGGAGAGTTTAGGGGGTGCGACAGGAGGGTGGAGGAGAATGCTGACGAGTCTCCTGTCTTCTCCTGCCCTCAGCACAGCACAGCTAGGGCCACCAAAAGCCTGGGCTTCTCAACCTGAACAGCCCCCTGCTCGCACCCTTACGCGGCCATCCACCGGCCCGCCCAGCCTCCCTGAGGTGCACTGGGAGCTTCGTCACTGCTTCTCTCCGCTCCTGAGAGTGGCCTGCAGGGCCTCCGTCAGGCCCAGATCTGACTCACCCCCGAGTTCAGGCCTGCTCTCGGCTCCCTGATACGTCTCATACCTCCAGTTCCTGACTACGCAGCCCGGCCCTTCCCCAGCCAGTGTGGTAGGTCCCTGGGGGTTCTGACCACCTTCCGGGGGAGCCCCTGAGTCTCACCTGCCCCACAATGGCTGCGGCCTGGGCCTGGCCACCATGAGGCATCAGGAACAGCGGCAGCCCGAGAAAAGGGTCCCTGGAGCCCGCCGTGCCGGAGGCCCCCCCGAGAACACGACAGAGACAGAGGAGAGAAGAGAGAAGAGACAGAACGGGGGACACCAAGTCCCAAAGACTGTCTGCGTTCCCGGACCCAGCCACTCCCAAAGCCCCGGGCTTTTGATATGAATCAATTAATTGCATTGTTTTCTGCTTGCGCCGGCTAAGAACTGTGCTTCCGTCACTTGCCTTCGCCTGACCGACACTCACGGCTGGCTTTCAGTTCAAGGCTGTTTCACTGTGTTGTTGTTTTCCCTCTGCTGGAGAAGGTTACAAAGAACACAGAGCCACGTGGTGCGGAGGCTTCTCCAAGCCCCCAGTACCTGGCTCGTGCTGCTTGAAAATCACTTCGGCAAATGACAAAGTACCGCCTATTTTGGACTTTCAAGATTGCCCCTGGGCATCCAAAGTCGCCACTGTAATGAATGCCAAAGGTCTACTGAATGAAAAGGTTTTCTTCACGAGCTGTCTCCTCTCACCGCCCAGGCCTAAGTCACCCGGGGTGGCGGTGGGGGGCAGCGCCCAAGCCCTCCCCTGTGCCGAGGGGCTGGCCCACCCCTGCACTGCGCTGTGCAGGGCTGGCTCGGAGCGGGCCTTGACCCCAGATACTTGGGCATCCTTGGGGTTTGTGAGAATGCGCTGGGGAAAGTTCTGGGCCATGCGGTTTGGAAAGCAGGGGAACTAGGAGAACATGAAAGCCTGTATGAGATTCACCGTAAGCAATTCGAGATCTTAGGAAAGAAAATAGATGGCTTGCGATCAAGCAGAAAAGGAAACCTTCTCAAGCCTTTGCACCCAGCCTGGGGCGAGCAAAACTCAAAGGCCAGCTTCGCCACTGTTCCTTCAGCCTCTGAGGGTGAAGTGTCCAGGCTGCACCCTGCTGCATTGTGTCTGCCCGTGGCGCCCCCACCCTGGCTCCACCCAGGGCTGGGGGACAGCCCGTGGACAGGAGGCAAGGACTCTGTTGTGACAGCTGCCCCTGGGCCTCAGGCATGAGTCTCAGAGCCTTGCTAGGAGGGAGGGACGGCCATGCGCTCAGTCAGACTCACGCTCACGCACATACACAATCAAGTCACCCTTCGCACAGTCTCAGACACAACCACCAAACCCCACATCATCTCGCACCCAGCCCCTCAGACTCACCCATCTCCCGTCCACACGCGCCCTGCCACAAACACACACCTACTCACACTGTGTTCGGCCGCGTTTCCCAGCCCCTCCTCCCCCAGCTCCACTTCTGGCCGAACAGCATATGATTTGAGAGACTTGCTCTCTTTTTTGGGCTACCAGGTCATGTGTTCGACTGCCCAAAGTAGCACAGGATCACCCTGAAATGGTATCAAAGGGTTCAGCAAAGCTAAAACTGGACCCCAGAGCAGGAAGGCCCTTGGGATCTCCTGGTCCTGTGGTTTTTAAGCTGTGTTTGCGGAACTGGGGCTTCCCCCTAAGAGCGGTCTCCTGGCACCAGGGAGGACCCATCACCCATTGCAGGACGTCCCTGTGGCCATGTCTCCACCACGAGGCACCAAGCCAAGACTGAGGGCAAGACAGGACAGCACGGGGCACAAGAGGCTCCTGAAAGAGCTGGGAGAGGATGGGACCAGCAGCGGCCAGTATCCGAGGCCTGCCACCCGCCCAGAGCCCTGCCAAGCACACGACATGTATTTCTTCATTTAATCTTGTGAGGCAGGAATTATCATCCTCATTTTACAGAGTAAGAAACTCAAGCTCAAAGGAGTTTGGAGTCAGGCCTGAAACCAAGTCTGTTTTACTCCCAAGTTCAGGTCCTTAAACAGCAAGCCCAGAGAACCCCGTCTGGGACCAGGCTGCCTGGGTTGAGCTGTGTGACTTTGGGGCAAGTCACTCGCCTCTCAGAGCCTCGCTTCCTCACCTGAAAGACAGAGATGGTGATGGTGATCGCACTAGTGACCCTTAACGGGGTTGCCACGGGGATTATATGCGTCTCAGGTAAAATGCTACAGCAAAGGCTCTGGCACACAGGAAGCTTACTGGATGCTGGTTGCTCTCCTTCTTACTGCCGATGAGAATGTTCTCTATGCTGTCTTCTTAGAAGAAGGGAAAGGGAGGCCACAGGAGTAAGACAACTCCCACCAAAGCACTGCCGGGGCCAACGCTAAAGAAGGTCTCTGTGCAGGTCCTCCTGGGAGCAGGGGCCAGGCTGCCCATAGCTGCCCTGGGAGGCTTCGGAACCACTGGCCTCCAGGACCCAGGGAAGGTCCTCGGGGGCCCTAAGCAGGAGAGACTGTCTTTATATACTCTCTCTGGGGACAAGGGGAAGGAGTGGACACCCACAGTGTTGTGTGTGTCTGTGTGTGTATCCATGTGTCTCTGTGTATATCTGTGTATGTCTGTTTCTGTGTCTATGTATGTCTCTTTGTGCCCGTGTCCGTCTGTGTGTATCTGTGTGTCTCTGTGTGCGTGTGTGTCTGTGACTGGTGGAGGGGGAGGGGCACGGCAGCACTGTGCTGTGCCCAGGCCCATGGGCACGAAGCTGTGCAGGTCCAGCGAGGTAGCCTCCCCGACACAGATGCCCCACAGGTGCCACAACCTAGGCAGGGACTGACCCCTGCGTGGCTTGGTTGGACAGGGCGGGGAAGCGGCAGAAACAGCCCCAGTGCTCCAGCTCTGGACAACGTGAAGCACAGCCTGGACGTGGGGCCCCGGAGGCCCCTCAGATGGGCAGGGCTGCCAGAGCAGCTCCCTAAGGAGTGTGCATGTGAACAGGGTGCCCGGCCCCTGACGAGCCCCGTGGCACCCAGAGCAGAGACACTGAGCACAGAGACCTTGACCCTCAGAGCCAAGGAGCCCCCATACAGATGGGGAAACTGAGGCCAAGAGGACTGCAAAAGGGCCTGGCCCTCCTGAGAGCTCAGCTTCCCCTCAGGGAGCTCAAGGGGCTCACCCACACGCCCGTCAGCCCAGGGATTAGCAAACCCAGGCCTGGGGAGAAGGCAGGGCGGCTTACGGTCGCCGTGCACGTGAGCCCGGCCAGGAATGAATCATATCATTATGGCAGGATTAGAAGGAAAATGCCATTAGAAAGTGCACACACATGCATTTAATAAGGTCAGGAACAGCGAGCAGCAGGCAGGCTAGCAGCACGAGGCTGCAGAGCCCCTGCCCTCCTCCTTCCACCCGCACCAGAGGCCACGGGGAACTCGGACAGGGCCCGCCCAGGACCAGGAGTGGGGGGCGAGCGTCTCCTTCTGCCGCGCCTCCCCAGCCTGGGCTCCCCATGGCTACTCTTTCTGCCTCCCCAGTTCCCAGGGCCCGCCTGCTCAGAGCTGTTCCCAAATCTTCCCCAACACCACGCACCCCTGCAAAATGCAAATTCATTCCCCCGGTCTCCATGCCCTCTGGGGTCCGCGCTCTGCTGGGAAGTGGATGGGGCAATCGATTGTACTTTACAAACCTGTTAATGTGCTGTTAATCTGCTACCCTCCCTAGTGACATAATGCCCAGGTGACAAGTACAGAAAAGAGGCCGAGAAAGCTCCCAGGGAATGAGGGTGATGGCAGAACTCCAGTTCTCGGGCAGCCCGGGAGGCCGCGTTTGATAAGGAAGCATGGAGTCCGAGCCAGGGACCCAGACTCCCTGCTCTGCCGGCCTCCAAAGCCCTGCGGCACACTCGGCCCCTCAGGGTTGGCCCCACACACGGACCTCGAAGCCTTCGGGACTGCCTTGGCCTACAGCAAGTTCACGGGGCCCTCAGTCATCTCCCAGTTCTTACGTCCCCGCACACGTCTCGGGGGAGTCCACGTGTGTGCTCAAGTACGCGCCCACTGCAGTGCCGCTGGGACACCAGGGAGGCTGTAAGCTCTTTGGGGGGTCTTTTGGATCCAGACCCCATGCACTCCCTAGCACACGTGGGGAGACGGAGAAGAAGGTAGCACTGAACACACGTGTACCAAGAATGTAACTGTTCTCTCTCTCCTGTCCAGCCAGCTGCCCCTAGCCCACTGCTTCATTCATCCATGCTCACGACGCACCCACCGCGTGCCCAGCTCTGCCCTGGGCTCCAGGGAGGCAGCGGTGAACCACACAGACAAGCCCGGCTCCTGGAAATGAACGAGGAAGATACTCACAGCTCTGTGGACCTGGACAGGATGGCCGACAGGGTGAGCAGGACACATCCATAGGGGCCTGCTTCAAACTGGGAAGAGGAGAGAGGAATGAGAACCCAGCAAGTGTGTGCACCTCCCTCCTGTCACTTCCTTGGGGACCACGACCCAGGGAGCAGCCTGACCCCGAGCCAGCTGCTTCCAGCCAGGTCCCAGAGGTCGCCAGGCAGCCCCATGGCCGATCCCATGCAGGTCTCACTAACCAGACTCCCTAAGGAGTGAGGGGCACACCAGCCTGAGTGACAAAGGGGCAGATGCAGTGCCCGCCGAGGAACGCCCTACGACCTCCGAGCCCCAGAAGCTCACGGACAGCAGTGGCCTGGGGCAGCCTCCACTACCGCGCAAGCGTCTTCTTCTCATTACCACATTTAAAACTATCCCGGGCCTGTGCTACAAATACTGTTATTACTGCCCTCTGCCATGTGAGGAAACTGGGGCTCAGAAATTGAGTGACTGGCCCAAGGTCACACAACTTGCAAGCAGCCCAATGGGTATCCAGGGGACTCCATCTGATTCCAAATCCCTAACTCCTCAGGGATCCTAAGAACTGCACTGGGCAGAGAGTAGCAGAGAGCAGGTTGGAGGAGAATCGGGTGGGGCGGTGCCAGTGAGGTGAGCATGGCAAGTGCAAGAGCAGATCCCATCATTTCAAATTTTTTTGTTCATTGTGGATTGTTTGAGATTAATTTTAATAGTTTTAAACTACTGCACTAAAATATTATTTATGCTGATTACTGAGGTTTGGGGGACCCCTTTGAATTTGGGGAGCGCCTCACTCGTCTTCCCATCTTCCCCTAGTCTTGACCCTGGTTTGGAGCCCAGAACCTGGGGGCCTGGCTGCCTGGGTTTACATCCCGGCTTTGCCACTCCTAGCTATGTGACCACGGGGACATTTCTTAACTTCTCTGTCCCATCTCCTCATCTGTAAAACAAAGACAATAAAAATAGGACCCATCCTCATGAGGTTGTTGTGAAGATTAAGTGAGATCATCCTTGTAAAGCACTTCAAACAGGGCCTGACACCTGTGTTAGCTGTTAGTATGATGCTGGGTCCTCACTGCCCACGTGTCCAGTGAGCCCAGCAGGCCACGGATTAATGGGATGGACTATGTCATTTCTGCTTCCTGAAGGAACACCGTCTCCCGACTGCAAATGAGTGTGAAGGCCTTACTCATCCCACTATGGGACAACAATTCCACTTTTGGAATTGGTAATGAAGATGCTGCCTGTTACAATAGTCAGTGTTCCTTATGGGGTGATCAGTTTCTTTTTGAATTTAAAACTAAAAAAGAAAGCTTACTTACCTGGAACAATGAGAATCATATAACTTATCATACTGCCATTTTGCCTTGGCTGCCAGGAAGCTCAGAGCCAAATACGATGTTCAAACTACTCAAACTATTTTAGCTCAAACTTCTGATAAAATTATCTTTTCTTTTCCTCAAAATATAGACTTTATCAAGGGAAGACAAATACTGTATGTTATCACTTATATGTGGAATCCAAAAAATAAAACAAATGAATTAATACAACAAAAGAGAAACAGACTCACAGATATAGAGAACAAATCAGTGGTTACCAGTGGGGAGAGGGAAAGGGGGAGGGGCAGGATAGGGGTAGGGATTAAGAGGCACAAACTATTATGTATAAAATAAATAAGCAACACGGACATATTATACAGCACAGGGAAATACAGTCATTATTTTATAATAACTTTAAATGGAGTATAATCTATAAAAATATTGAATCACTACGTTGTACACCTGCAACTAATATAATATTGTAAATGAACTATATATACTTCAATTTAAAATATAGATTTATATTTTCTAAGTATTATATATGTATATAGTCTTTATTTTCACCCAATAATTCAATTCGTCAGTCATTCAAGAAAAAACAATTACTGCCTGACCTTTTTGTGCCAAGAGGATGCTCCCTGCTAAAGCTATACCTGCGAACAAGGTGGACACGGATCTGCCCTCACGAGAAGTAACTCAGGAAAGAGAGAATAATAAGCAACTTGAAAAAAGTGGGGAAGGGGCTCTGCACCGATGGGAAAAACAAGGTTCCCTGGAAACACACAGGAAGGGCCTTCAATGCAGACTTAGGGCTTAGGGAAGGAGGGAGCGTCAAGGAAGGCTTTCCGGAGGAAGTGATGTCTAGACAGAAGCCCAAGGGACAAAGAGGAATCAGAAAAGGGAACGTTGTTCCAGGTGGGAGGAGAAGTACATGCAAAGGCCCAGAGGCAAGAGAGCAAAGGTTTACCATGGCTGGAGCACAGAAAAAACCCCGAGGACATCATTTTTTTTAATAATTACCTTTAAATCTTTTTTTGGAAGCAGAAATGGAATGAATGAATCAACAATAATCTTAAATCAATGTCACCTTAATTCTGTGATCTCAGGCCAGTCACTTCACTTCTGTTGTCCTCAGTTTCCCATTTGCAAAATGAGGATAACAAATACCTCCCTTGCATGTTTCCTTAGGTTACGCTGCACGTCCTATGAGGCCAGGTCGGTGGAAGTGCTCTGACAACTGCAAAGAGGAATGCTGATGTCCCTGCGCAGGGGGACAGAGGCCTGGGAGGACTCGGGCCACCAGTGCCCTTGTCACAGCTCTACTACAGTCTTGTCTGTTGCCTCAAGGAGTGACAAAGCTCTCTCAGTCGCAGTTTCCCCTTCTGAAATGCCTACCTACTTCTGCCCTGGACTTGCACATTGTCCTGGGGAGGCCACGGCGCTTCCTGGGTCTGTCTCCCCCACTGCCGTGCCTTCCTACTCGCGGGACTGCAATGAAGTAAGGAACACAGGCTCCCGCTGTAAGCCAGGAGTCTGTGTAAACGTGGAGAACTATTATTATACGCAGGCCAGCATTTTCCACAGTCCTTGGGACACATCCAAGGGGACCTCATCCTGAGCCGTGGATATGCCCCTGCGTGTGGACAGGTTAGGTGAGACTGCGGAGGGCAGGGACATGATCCCCGCCTGCGGCCTCTGGCCCTTGCCGGATGGAACACGACTGAATGGCACCAATATCCCATTTTGTTTTTAAAACATTTATTATTATAAAATGATCTCCTCAAATTCCAGCTGCCAAGCCATGGAAGGCCACAGGGCGGAGGAGAGCCCAGGCAGGCAACCGGGCCAGAACCCACCAGCAGGGTCTGGAAAAATGTCTGGTACCGCTTGGGAAGAAGGGGTCGTTCCACCGAGCTGCTCTGGCCCAGGAGAGACCTGAGTCCACCAGGAACCCCAGTGGGAGGCAGGGGCGGGAGCATCCCCCAGTTCGCAGGGCGCGGCAGCCAGACATCTCACCAGGAGGGTGAGCGGTAATGAAAACACAGCAAGGAGGCTGTTTATTTTGGGCAGACGTGGTTCAGTGTTCATTTCCAGGCCTGGCACGAGGAAGCCCTCCTCGGCCCAGACCGTGAAAAACGAATTTGGTGAGGGTAGTGCTGAGGCAGCTCAACGGCTTCCAGCACAAACAGAATTTCAACTGCAGGGAGAAAACAACACCTTCCAGAGTGAGGGCCAAATGGTGACCGCTCGTACCCAGGGATCAAGGCCAGGAGCGGGGCGGGGGGGGGGGGGGGGGGCTCGGGGCCCAGAGGTGTGGCAGGAAGTAGGCGGCTCCCGCCCCTGGCAAGGGTCCCACTCTCAGAACCTCTTTCACACTCACTGTCTTGCTCGGGCTTCATCGAAACCCTGGGGGTACAGGCCAAGGGAGGAGGGAGACCCCATCTATAGACAAGGATGCAGATGATTTTGGTGCTGAAGGGCCACCCCAGGGCCTCAGGGGCAATGATGGGGCCTCAGATCCTGGGGTCACGTGAGCAATCACCCCAGGGCCCCTCCTTTGCCCCACAGGGCTTCCCTCCTCCAGCTCTGCGTCACCTGACAGTGTGAACACAGGTGCCCCTGGTCCTGGCCTCCCTGAATGCACACTGATGCTGCCAGGATTTGCTCGTCTCTCGGAGGCATTGCTGCATTCTCACACTGCTCTGGTATGTTTAATAAAAGGTGTCCTTTCTGCTTATTTAAAGTGCCTGGTCCTTAATTTGGAAGACATTCTTTGCCATGCGTTTAAGGTTCTTCTTCAAGAATCACAGTTGGGCAGTAAAGAGCTGGAAGTTACCCGCTAACTAACTGCTCCATCTTCCACTTTCCAGATGAGGCCACCGAAGCCCAGTGACTATCCTGAGGCCACTTGTGACCAAGGAATAAGGCAAAGGAGGTCCCGGGGCCTCTGCTCCAGGCACCCCATGGCCCTGAGCCGGTGGTGAGCACGCTGCATCTATGGACTGCCCACTGGGTTATGCTCATGAAGAACCAGAGAAAGCCAGGGAACAAGTGACAGCCAGCCCAGGACTCCCAGCGCCAAGGCCAGGACCCCTCCTACACCAGAGCCCCTCCCACGCACCTGCGGGACAGGCTGGCGCAGAAAGGCTGCTTCTCTCTGCCATGCTTCCCTCCCATCTCTACCTGTCTACAACTAACCCATATCAAGGTCACCTTACGTGATCATCACCATGGTGATGAAACACCCACAACGAAAGCTAACGACCCCTGAGAACACAGAGCAGGACACGGTGGCTCCAGGCAAGCGCTTTGCACAGCGCTCTGAGGCAGGCACCGCTGTCATCAGCCACATGGTACACAGGAGGAAACTGAGGCACAGGGGGTCCAGTAAGTTGCCCAAGGTCACAGAGCTACTAAGAGGTGTAACCTAGATGCAAACACCCGCTGACGCTGATGGCTCCAGAGTCAATGCTCTTCACCCACCCCCGGAGCATTCGATGACCTCCTCCACAAAGCCCCGAGGCTACAGCCCAACTCTGAATTCCCTCAGCCCTCTGATGGGCTGCTCCCAGGCCCTGGCTGGGTTCCACCCCATCTCACAGCCTGGAGCAGGTGCACGGCTCTCCTCCAGTAGACAGGATGCTCCAGGGGCCCCTCCGGGCCCAGCCCTGCCTCCCGGGACACCAAGCAAGGTCCTCTACTATCAGGATCTCCACCAGCGGTGCTCAGACCTCCAGCCCAGCCCAGGAACCCATGTCCTGGTCACTTCCCCAGACGGTGCTGAGCCCCACTCGCTGACGAAGTGTTCTTTACCTGCAGAGGTAGCTGCTTACCCTCGAACAGAAAGAAAGCTCTCATAACCACAGTCCGATAGCTGCTCCCCTTCAGCCTGACCCCGCTCCATCCCTGCTTCCGCAGCCCCCGCTGCAGCGGCTCCCTTTACCTGTAGCCATGGCCAGCCCTCCAGGAAATCATGGCAGAGGTCAGACCCTCTGCCCCCGAGCCCACTCTTCTCCAGCCAACATCGCCCCACTACCCCAGGGTGGGGATGAACGGAGAACAACCCCAGGTCACCAGCATGTCTCCCACAGAGAAAGCAGAAGCTTAGCAATGCACAGCCCACAAACTAAACCACTGTTCATACCTGATGGACGCTCTGTTGAAGAAAAGTCACCAGCTCCTCGTAGCAGGTCAGACTGTGGAGTGTGAGCTGGGAAGCACAAACACACAGGGTGAGCTGCCCAAGCCCGGGGGACAGTCCCCCGTGCTGGATTCGTTTCTGTGGCCCTAACTTCAGCAGCTGCAAGACCCCACTGGGGAACGTCCCTGCACTCAGAGAGCGGCGACCTCGGGAGCGGGGGTGGAGAGGCACTCCTACACCCGTGTGTGATTCAAAGGCTGCAGGGCCCAGCTGGGGTGTCTGGGGCTCCCGCCCTGCAGCAACACTTTAGAGGCCCCAGGATTGGAGACATCATGGAACTAAAGCCACAGAGCCGGCATCATGCATGGATGGCCCCGACGGGTGGGGCTGCACCCTGCAGGCTAGTCACAGATACCTGAGGAGCACCTTGGGGGCGGGGAGGCTGGGGGGACAGGGGAGTACAGGGTGGGTGACCCACTCAGGTCGCCGTCACCAGGCCTGTTCTAAGCCCAGCAGGCAGTGCCCTGAGTTCAGTGCAAAGCAGTGGTTATGCGTCTCCTATGCTTTCTCATGCAGGTCAGAAAAGAACACTTTCACAGATAACATCCAACAAAGTGAGATGCTTAATTAAGATCCCAGGGCCACACATGCCCAAAAGGTCAAAGGGAACAAGCTAAGTAAAACAAAAATCCTCAGTGAAGAGGAGGTTAGTTTGTGGGAGAGTCTCAGAGTTTCCACGTTTTCACACGTCTCTCATTTCTCTGCTGTCCTTTGTCTTACTTGGGTCTGGCCTTCCAGCTGGTGCTCCGGCCATCAAAGCTCTTCTCTGCTAACTTCCTCTCCCTTGCACCCCCACTACCCTCTCATGGCAATCCCAGAGAGGATGCTATGACATAAAGGGGGACACGGGGAAGGCTGGGGTTTAGCCAAAAGGCATGGTGCATCGAACGCTGGAGGGACGTCATGTTCTGTACAAGCTCAACATGACAGGGCGCCCATCAGCCTTTTAGCCATAAAGCCAGTTCTGGCCAGAGCTCATCCCAAAGGCCCCCACCTCTGCCCGCACCCCAATCCCAGGTGGAGGATTCTGCTGGCCTGGGCCACAGGGAAGGCTAGCCCATCCCCAACTAAGGAAGGATTTACTTATATGAAAGGAGACTGTCCCCAAACAAAGCCAAAGGTTGCGTGCTAATTTTCCAGAAAGCCGTACTGTTTCTAAGACTCCATCTGCTTTGTATTTCCCGGTTGGACTGAACTGCTGTGTTCTCGAAGCCCTAAAAAGGAAAGGGAGATGCATGAGTCTCTGCGCGGAGAGATGACATACCCCAGAGCCAGGGCACAAACCACACGGGTTGCTCAATGAGGACAAACCAAAAGGTGGCCCAGAGGAAAGAAGGGAGCCAAGCGCACCTCGTTTCCCTGCCTTGAACTCACCCGCTAGGCCGGGTCCGGAGAACTCCACTAAATGGGAGGGGGTAGAGTGCGGGTGCTAATATGGGATGGAAAAAGGACAGCCGAAGGAGAGCTCGGGATAACCAAACCCAAATCCTGGTAGCAGGAAGTCTGCCTCTCACCCACCGACGAGCATGCTGCCAGACTAAGGAATGCTCACTTGCCCTTTGCCTTTAGGGACTTGAAGTCCAGCCTCTGTCCCCTTGGAGGACATCTGTTTACACAGCACCTGCATGTGTGGCCCAGGAAGGCATGGACTAGAAGCTGCATTTGGGTTTGGGGCCACTATGACATTAGCCTGCTGTGCAGCCTTGGACCAGCCACCGCCCCTCTCTGGGCTTCTGTTTCCTAATCTGTAAAGTAAGGAGAGATTGAATTTTTGCCCCATAGGCTCTCAAGGCTGCCATGCAGATCCTAAGGGCCAGGGTTTGTGAGTTACCTGGAACATGGGTACCAAGGACAAGCACTCGATAAGAACAATAGTGATAATGACAATAATACCCAACACTGACACCATACTTAGTACGGTCCAGACCTTATCTTAACTGCTTCATACTATTACTTATCACCTATTTATATGGATAAATTGTTTAAACTGATCGATGATACTGTCATTCATTATATACCATTTTATTTATGTTGACTCGTTCAATTCTCACATTTACCCCATTAAGTAATCATTACTATCACCCCTATTTTCCAAGTGAGTAAACAGGCTAGGCACAGAGAAGCTGAGTCAGTTACTCAAGGTCACACAGCCAACAAGCAACAGCACTGGGGGTCAGCCTTTGGAGTCTCTTAAGTTCTGTGCTCTACTGACCACTGTGCCCCCTTCCAGGGTGTGGCCCTTGTATCCAAAGGGCACCCCCTTTACTAAAGCTTAGCCACACAGCTGGGATGAAGTGATGCTTCCACTCTGAAGGGTCAGGCTGGAAAGCCGGCAGGCCATCCACATAGATTGCGAGGATGGTATCCTCCACCAGTAGGACGGAGGTAGCAGGGAAGACTGCACTGGCTCCACCGCTCATCTCTCACCTCCCTGAGTCTCCTCACTGGAACGGGGATCCAACTGACAGAGCAAATAGGAGTGTGCTTTGGGGACTTGGGGGAGCAGTGCAAATGACTGGGTCGACCTAGAGGCTGTTTTCCGAGGCCTCCAGATCAGAGAAATGTAGAGGGGAGCAAGCTGCCGGTGAGGGGGCGGGGAGGGGGGCATGGGTTTTCTCAGGCAGGTTACATCCACCAGCACCCCCTGCAGAGAGGGATCCCCCAGATCTGACCCCTCTCGACCGGAGCCATGTGGAGGGCTGGCCCTCCCCTGGTGTGGGGCTGCCCAGCACATCAGGCCAACTCTCCAGGCTCCTGCTGGCCTGGAGCACAGGGCAGGGGTCTGGGAGGACACAGACACGGTCCTCAGGCCCAGACGGCCTGTGTGAGATGATGATTTCTCCAAGGACAGGAAAGCGCACAGCCAGCTGGCCTGTAGCTGTGCCCGCCCGAGGTGGAGTGGTAGCAACACAGCCCAGGGAAGCACTTACAGTGTGACCACGGCTCTCTTGTGGCCTCCAGCCCGCCACACAATGTCCGCGATGGCCAGGGCCAGGCAGCGGGTCCTACGAGCGTTTGAAGGCTGCAGCTGCCTGAGGACGAAAAGGGAAGTGTGTTTATGCCTATGGGGACAGACATCAGAGATAGCGCAGCCCTGTGGAAGATGGCCTGTCCTCTCCTCTGCTGCCCAGCGGAGCCCTGCGGCCCAGGGGCTCGGGCAGAGCCTGGGAGGAGGGCCTCTGCAGATGAAGACAGAGGGAAGAGCTGTGAGAGAGAGGCCCTGGCAGGGCTGGAGGAGGAACAGGCTGAGGAAATCACCCACGGGAGCGAAGGGGCCTCTGGAGACTCGGCAGGGCCTGGAGCGGTGGAAGCAAAGGCTGCGGGTTCTGACAAAGCCCAGGGGACTGAGCCCGGAACTGCTGCCATCCCAGGCAGGGGCACCGCCCTGCCCCGCCCAGCCTTGGCCAGCCCCGACGCCCAAGCCCCTGGAGACAGCGGCTCACGCAAGCAGGTGCCCCGCGCTCCCCCAGCTGACAGGAGACCAGACCACGAGTGCTGAGGGGAAATAGCCTGACTTGCCGGTTACTTGGACATAGGGCGTGGGGGCGTGGGGACGTGGGGAAGGGAGGATTCGGGATGACGCTGGGCTTCCCGTGAGTGCATGCTGGTGCCACCAACTGAAATGGGGAACACGAGAGGGGGACGGGAGGTGGCGGGGAGAGCTGGAGGTGCACGTGGGACGACGGGGCGGGGACGGCGGGGGGGGGGGGGGGGGGACGCAGCTGGAGGTGCACGTGAGACGATGGGGCGGGGACTGGAGGGGGCGGTGCGCAGCTGGAGGTGCACGTGGGATGCCCAGGTGAAGCTGTCGCTCTAAAGCCCAGGATAGCGGCTCGGGCTGAGTAGAGGCTTACGAACCAGCAGCGTGTGAGGGGTCCTCGGCACCCTGCGTGGCTAAGATCTCCCAGAGAGAGGATGAGGAGGGCAGAGGCGGCGGCCAAGGCTGGAGCCTCGTGGAACTCCAGCGCGTGGGAGAGGCAGGGGAGGCAGGCAGGAAGGGCAGAGCTCGGAGACGGGCCGTTACAGTCTTGGGAGCAAAAGGGCTGGAGAAGGACAGGCAGTCAGTGGTGTCAAAAATGGCAGAGAGGGGCTTCCCTGGTGGCGCAGTGGTTGAGAGTCCGCCTGCCGATGCAGGGGACACGGGTTCGAGCCCCGGTCCGGGAGGATCCCACATGCCGCGGAGCGGCTGGGCCCGTGAGCCATGGCCGCTGAGCCTGCACGTCCGGAGCCTGTACTCCGCAACAGGGAGAGGCCCGCGAACCGCAAAAAAAAAAAGAAAAAAAAAAGGCAGAGAGACCTCTTACCATAAAAACGGCAACGAAGAGGCCCTTAGTGCATGAAGTCTGTGAGAAAGACAGAAGAAGCAATAGCCACGTACAGACGCTCTTTCCGTCTCCAGGGCTCCACAGAGCCGTGCTTCTCGCCCACCCCTGGATTCTGGGAAGTTTTCTTAAATTCCTACGAAGGCAGGCTGAGTGTCTGAGTGTCTCACTACCTAACAAACAAAAGGGGCTTGACGCCAGCGCTCCCAGCAACGTAGAGGGAGCTTCCATGTTTTCAGTCACCAAGTACCCTAAGCTCTAGGCTGAGCTGTTGGGTGGGGAGCAGGTGAAAACTGGTGTTTGTCCTTCCTCTCCAGGATAGGAGAGGAGAACCCGGAGACCAGGACACAGGTCACCATGGTGGGCAGCACGTGGTCATGGCCCAGTCCGTGGGCCACAGAGCCAGCCGTCTGCACCTAGGCCGTTGTGGTCCAGTGACTTTAAAGTGGTAGGCAACGTGACATAGGGTCCCTCAGTTTCCCCATCCCTAGACTGGCTGGGGCAGTAGTACCTCCCTCATCGTGTTGGGAGCTTTAAATGAGATGATCTATGTAAGGTCCGTGGCCCAGTGCCTGGCATGTGGAGAATGCTCAGTAAAGGGTACCCATTGCTGTTGTCTTTATGGAAACGTCAAGTGCCCACTTTGGCTGTGGCCAGAGAGTTCACAGGATGGTGAACTCCCTGTATCTGATGTGAAAGTGACGACAAGCCGCTGACACCAGGCAATGCTTCTCACTCAGTGAGACGCAGCCTGCCTGGTACGTCTGCAGCCTCAGGAAGCCTGCCTGCTCCTCTGGAAACAGCTACCACACCACCAGCAAACCAGGCACCTGAGATTCGGGAAGCACTGGCCCTGGGCCACTGTCAACTATGAAAACAAAGGTGAAGAAACATTGCTCTGGGATTCAGGAGAGGCTGCCAAGGACCAAGGAGGGCCTGGAAAGCAGGGCTCATCGGACAAGGGAGAAAGGATCCGGGTGCGGAGGCGAAGGCCAGCAAGGGCAAGGGGCTTCCCCAAGGCCTTGAGCCAGGAGTGGAACCCAGGCCCGACCACCACACTTCTCCCAGTGCTACTGTTTTCTGGAAAGCTGTGTCTGGAGCTGACGCAGGGAAGAGCATGCTGGAGAAGACACAGGGAAGGATGGAGAGACTAAATGGAAGCCAATGAAAAGAATGAGAACTTTTGTATAGAAACACGGAAGTTCAGAGGGTCTATAAATTAGAGCCTGTGAGACCTGGAAGATAGGCCGGGCCCAGGAGCCAGATCTCTTGATAGCGTTGCAGGTGCAGGAAAGATGGGCTCAGAGGCAAAGGGATGCTGGCCCCCAACACCAGAAGCTGGTTCCACCTCGCCACGCTCTCCTTCTTCCCTCACTGCTGTTTCACTTTGTCCAGTTTTTACTAACTGTGTGACCTTGGGTGAATCATTTAGTCTCTGTGCCTCAGTTTCCCCCTTTTAAAAGGGGACAATAATAGTACCTCCTTCACAGGGTGGTTTTAATGATTAATGAAGTAATACGTGTGAAGTGCTTCCAACAGTGCCTGGCATGCGATAAGTACTTAATATATGTTGGTTTTTAAAATCTTATTTGTGGCTGCACTGAGCAGCTTTCAGGCAAGTGTTACCTGCTTCATTAAGTTAGCGTGGACCATAGTGAATGTTTGCAAGGTGACCTGGTAGCTCCGTCTGGAGGTGTTCCAGCACAGACATTCTAGACAGAGGATACAATCCAGGCATAACTTTGTCCCGCTCCTGCCCATGTCGAGGGATCTAGCTGGGGAGTGCCCTAGTCACACCTGTGCTGTAGGAGGAGCCTGTGATGAGTATGCCCAGTGAGGACAGGAGGGAGGGCAAGATGAAGCAGCAGTGCTGGCCGGGCCCTGGCCGTACAGCTCAGCTGAGGAGCAGGGCACCCCAGTCCTGGGCAGGGGCGGGAAGGGGATGGGCGTGGGTGCCCAGGAGGTGGGACTGACACGACTGGCGGTCACCTGGATGGGGGTGGGACAGGAAACAAGCCCTGAGGATGACGGAGTCCACTACCGTGGGTTGCGATTCCAAGGAGATGAATGTCCAGAATGCAGACCCTGGGCCAGATGCCCGCAAGCATCATTCCAGCCCGGCCCTTCTGCCGGGTAACCGGCCACAGGGTATTCAGGGCTGGGGTGCGTGCGGATGACAAGACGGAGGAGGGAGGTGCTGCAGTGAATCGCCGGGGAACTCAGGGTCTGCCTTCACCTCGGTGACCAGGGTGGTCCTGCACTTCCTTCATCAGTCACGCATGCGCTTATCCAACCCCTACCGTGAACCTAGCACCTGGCCGGGGTCTCGCACCAAGAGAAGTTTCTTTAAAAGAGTCTAATACCTCACAGAACAAGTGCAGGATTTGTCTAAGGGTGGGCGATGGGCGTCAGGAAGTAATACATCCTGTGTTTGGCTTAATTACCCAAGTCTTTCAGATTAAAAAGATGTTTCTACCATCATTAACTCAAAACAGGCTCACCAGTCCACCCTGACGTGCCCGCTAGTCTGAGCCTATAGAAGAATCAGAAGCTGGTGAGTGACTGCAGACCTTTCTGCCCCCTTTCAGGGTCAGACGCTGCCAGAGCTGGCCTGGGGACCCCCAGACCTGGGTTCCAAGCCTGGCTCCGCTAATGGGTCCAGAGGTGCCTTGGGCAAGTGCCCCTCCTTCTCTGGGCCTCGACTTCCCCAGTTGAAAAGGGAAGTAGAGGCGAGAGGGCAGCTCCCTTGCCTGTGGCGCTCCCCGAGCCCGCAGGGGAACGGGGCTCACCATCGCTTCCCACGAGCCCTCCTCAAGTGGAAAAACACCGAGCCCTGCCGCCCGGCTCTGCCGTCCCCAGTTGAGGAGAGGCCGGCTGCCGGCCTGATGGGATGAGTCTTAATGAAGCCAGACAGCCCTGCAGAAAAAACACCACCTCTGCCAAGAAGCCATTATTTCAGCATGATTTCCCTGGAGGCCACAGTCACATCCTCGTGCGGCTTCGTAAACTACAGAGCCTAAAGAGCTGCACCTTGGTCACTGGGAGTCCGTCTGGGTGTCCTGCCCTCGGGTGTTTCAAGCTTATGACACTCAGCCTCGTGCGGGGAGATGGCAAGCAGGGGGCCACGCCCGCCCAGGCCTGCAGACCCAGTGCAGGAAGGCCCACCGGCCCTGGTCCCGGAGCTCCCAAAGCGCCCAGCATTCAGCAGCTGCAGGTGCCGCCTCTGTGTGGCATGAGGGCCAACGCAGTGCTCCTGAAGAGAACAGAGGAGCTTTCCTGCTTTTTTCTTCCTTTTTTTTTTTTTTAAACCAGATCATTTCTGAAATCTTAGAATTTCAGAGTCAAAAGGGAGTACTGAAGCTCCAACCCAGCTCAGCACACCAGCCTGTGCAGCGACACCAATGAACCAAACAATCAATATTAAGATCGTACAAATGCATCAAGGAAACCAGAGGAGCCGGGCTGCGAGAGGTTCCTGCAGGGATGTCGAATGTCATCCTTTACTCACACGAGGCAGCAGGTCCCCAGGGGGTTGCCATATTACTCTTCTGTACTCTTCTGATTTTTTTTTTTTCCCCAAATTAGGAAAAATGGGGAGGTTCTGCCTAGAAGCCCTTCGTAAACTACAGAGCCTAAAGAGCTGCACCTTGGTCACTGAGAGTCCATCTGGGTGTCCAGCCCTCGGGTGTTTCAAGCCCATGACACTCAGCCTCCCGGCACCAGCCCCTCCTGGCCTCTCTGGCTCGCCTGGGGCTCAGGGTCTCTTCTAGGGCACAGTGTGGTGTGACAGACGTGCTTGGCTCTGCCCTGGAGGTCAGGTGTGAACCTGGACAAGCATCTTTCCCTCTCCGGGACTCAGTTTCCCCATATGTACCACAGCAGGCGATCTCAAGGTCCCACCCACTTGCACAGCCCTTGATTTACAAAGGATTTGGTTTGCATTTCCTTACTGAGTCAGACTTGGGCAGGACAGAGATTCACAAATGGAGAAAGTGAGGCCTTGCTGGCCTATAGCTGTAATCCAGGTCTCTGGCTGGTCCAGTGCTCTCTTCAGCAACCGCCATCCTGGGACAAGCTAAGGACCACAGAGCTGGGCACTCCCCGCAGCCTCAGCACGGGCACCTATAGGCTGCACCGACACCCACTTGGCAAGGACGACCTTCTGTGGCCTCCAACCTGTAGGGCCTCACCTCTGCAAACGGCGACCAGACTCCGCTCTCACCTCCCCCCTCGGCTGCCAGCCCCAGGCCCCGGCCGCTCACTCCCCTGGCCTTTGCTTGACCCAAGTCCTAGCCTGAACCCAGGAGGACTCTCTCCTCTCGCCCCCAGTCGGCCTCCAGCCCCGAGGCAGGCTCATGCCTCAGCAGAGCTAGGTCCACAGCAGCGGAAGCCAGAGGAGGAGACATAGGATGGGGGGTGTGGAGGCAGCCGGTACTCCTTGCCCACAGCCCATCACCCCTGGGACCTCCCCCAGCTGGTCACTCAGAGCCCGGTCTCCCTGAGTCCCCTGAGGCACTTTCAGCGAGAGCAGCCGGGTCACTGGGCCAAGCTCTCCGCCCCTCCCTCTCGGATGGGTGGGAAGAATGCCCACTATTGGGCCTGCTAGGCCAGCAGCACCAGCAGGAAGCCAGACCACTATGCTCGGTCTGCATGGACAGCAGCTCTGGGTGCAGGGCCTGGGGCCGCAGGCGTGGAGGTGCCACAGGGGAGGGACTTACGAGGAGCACCCACAGCTGTGGGACTCCAAACAAAGGTGAGGTCACTCTTCTGCAGCATGACCCCTTCCGCGCTTCCCGTGGGCGGGACCCTGCCTGGCCAGCAGGCCGAGCTCTCCCAGCTGCTCGGCACAGGCCTCCTCTGGCCCACCCAGGCCGCCTTCCCCCAGAGCGGGGCTCCTTCCCACCAGGCACACCCCACACACAGCTCCCAGCAGCCAGCAGCCCCTTCCAGCCTCCTCCCCTCCTGCCCCACCAGCCCGGCCTCCGAGGGCCTTCAATCTAGGCTGGCCCCAACTCTTCTCCCCACAGCTGGTACAGTTTTCTTTCTGCCCAGAGCCCGTCTTGCGCCCCCAGCCTGAATGGCTTTCTGCCTTCCGAGCCCTAGCTCCCCTCTCAGGTGTGGCGAGCAGAACTCTCTCCCGAGGACGTGCCTGGGGATCCAGAGGCTGTCACATCCCCTTAGTGGGACTGTAGGGCGGACGACAAGGAGCCAAGCCTGCCTTGTGCCCTGGGCAGAAACGGCCCTTCCGGGAACCAACTTACACACCCCTCCCTGACTGTTGGGAAATGATCTACAACTTCCCCCAAGAAGTCCAAAGTCCAAGTTCAAAAGCAGCTCTGAACGGACGTGGGGGCTGAAATGAATTATCAAACACCTCCCACGAGGGCCAAGGCCAAGGCTTGACCTGAGCAAGCCGCTGGGCCCCAAGGGCCCTCTGGCAGCCTGGCCCGGGTCTCGCCCTGCCCCCTATACTCTGCCCTGGCCACTCCCTGCCCTCAGGCCTCTGCACATGTTGTTCTCCTTACTGGAATACTATCCCCTCCCCTCCCCGTCAGTCTGGATAACTCATATGTTTGTCCCGTTCATTCAACAAAAGTTCCGAGGGCCTCTTCTGTGCACTAGGCCTGGGGCTGGATGCCAGGGACTGGCTACAGCCCAGGCAGCTTAGGAAGGCCCCCGTTCTCAGGGGCCTTGTGTTCTGGCGCACAGACAATGGACAGGTAACGGCTTGGATAAAGAGGGCATCCAATGGTGGGGGCCTTGCAGGCGGCGTCTGGGGAGGTCGGGGAAGGCGGCCCTGAGGCCATGGCCTCTGCGCGTGAGGAGCCGGGGAAGGAGGCCGAGGGATTTGCTGGGAAAGGAGAAATCGAGGGAGGAACAAGCCTGTGCGAGGGTGTGTGCGAAGCCAGTCAGGAGCCCTGCTCACCCTCCGGATCTCAGTAAGATTAAAATGTCACTCCTCCAGCAAGCCTGCCTGACCCTCTTCACATCCGGGTGGGCCCTGAGCTCCCTGCACGTCCCCCTGGGACCTCCTGTGCATCTGGCTCTCGGGTTCAGTCGCAGGTGCCATGAGGGCAAGGCCACAGCTGCCTTGGTGAGGCCCGCACGCCCTCCAGGCGCCTATTAAGTCCTCCCCGCGCGCCCCTCTCCAGTGCAAGGAGGGAAGGTAGGAGTGGAGGTGCATATGTGCTCGGAGAGGGTCCCTGCGCCCTTGGCGGGCAGGCATCCAGAGGTCCCTCACTTAGCCAGTCCCAGCCAACCAGCCAGCCAGGAGCGTCCCTGACCATCGGACGCTCACTGTGTGGGCCGCGCTTTGCTGGCCTGGACTCCAGAGCAGGCACTGGGGAGGAGAACAGCACAAGGTCGGACCTTGCTGTGCAAATGCTGTGTCTCTGGGCTTCCGGCTGCAGTTACGCTATGCTTATGGTTAGCGTCTTTCAGCTTGAAACCAAGCACCTTGATTGTTACTTTGTAAAGTAATGAGACAAATCATATTATCGGACAAATTCTGAAATGCCCAGCATGAAAAGCCACCTTCACTTGAATCCTGTCTAAGGCCACATCCTCTAAGCTGGTAAAATGTGTTTCGTTTTGTACAAGCTTGGCTGGATGTCTGGGGAACTAGTGTCTTTCCCAGGAATTTGAACGTGAATAAATGGGGGATGGGCCTTGTTGTCTTTAAAAAAAAAAAAAAAAAAAAAAGGCAGTCCCTTGAATTCAAGTTCAGGAATTGTCAAAACTAAGCTGTGATTTTCAAATCCGCTTAATCACAACTTTGGAGAAGAGAATGGAGGTATCTACCGGGCAGGAGGATGCTTCCAGGGAGCTGGAAATATTTTCTTCCTTGATCTGGGTGCTGTGTTCATGGGTGTGTGATTTTGCAATAATTCATTAAGCAGAACATACATGAGTTGCGCCCTTCTTTGAGTTGTGTACTCTTCTGTATGTATATTAGATTTGAACTAAAAAAGAAAGACAAGTGCCAGAAGCTCTGTAAATCTGAGGGTGACTCGGTACCACTGGGCACACAGTTACTGGTTAAGGTAAGAGGGCTGCCTCCTCCAACTAGCCGAGCTGGCCCCAGCCTTGGGTAGCCCCTCGATAATCCTTCTACCTGAGCACCAGCTGCAAGGTAGGATTATGGATTTCTCTCCATCCCTCAACCTCACAGAGCACTCGGGAGAACAGAGAATGCGTCTATTCCTCTCTGAATCACCGGTATCCGCACAGAGAGAATGTTCCAGAAATGTCTGCGGAGGGAGTAAGGATGAGAATGAAGGGCTGTGTGCAAACACTCAGCGTGTGAGGTGGAGACAGAATGGCCAAGGGGAGGAAGCTGTATCCTGCAGGTCTGGCTGGACCGTGTGGAGATGGCTGTTAGCAGAGGTGGGGGAACGAGGGGAGGGAGGGGAGACCTGGGCTCAGTGGAGGGGTCAGCAGGCTGGCCTGGCTGTAGATGGGATTTGGCGGTTGCTGTGCTCCACTCCTGAGGAGGGGGTGGCCTGAGTTTCAGTGCTGTTCCAACTGCCACTTCCCATGTGGCACAGGACTTAACAAGCCTCCCTGCTCTTAGAAACAAATGGCATGCAGGTCATTTAAACTGGTCAGCACTGGCCCTGTTAGCCAGCCACCGTTTCCCTTTCCAGAAGACGGGAAATATCAGGGAACAAACACACATTTCCTTGCTTATTTTTTCTGGACAGTGAGGAGAAGCCTTGGGAAGAGAAGCTATTGCCAGAATGAGCGCTGACTTACCGAGCACAGTCAGCTCTGCTATCTCCTTCAAACAGGAGTTTCTGTAGGACACAGCCTTGGACAGCTGCCAGAACCCCACAGGGACCACCCTGCAAAGAAGGACGCGCGTCAGTGCCTGTGAGAACTGACCCAGGGTAGGGCCACCTGCTCCTCCAGAACCAGCCTCCTCCAACAGGTTACAGAGCCTCAAACAGGGGTCTCCTGCGTGGTGACTACTTCTGTGAAGTGCTGACCCTGAGTCACAGAGAGGGGGTGACAGAGGCCCAGGTGCCCATCGCTAGAGGAAGGAGCAAAGTCTGTGGTGTGTGATGGGGGGAAAGTGACTCTTCATAACCCGTCAGCGGCTGTCACCATGGGTGTCCAGGCATCCAGAGGCATGTTTCTGTGTCCACAGGCTGACGGTGTCAATTGTCTACGCAGCCTTCAAGGCCCATCCTAAAGGCCTCCTCCTCCAGGAAGGCTTCCCTGACCATCTCAGCCAGAAGCGAGCCCCTTGGGCAGCCTCCGCTTGTGTAAGCAATCTTGTTCCCCGGCCAGTGGCCTGTCTCAGCACCTAGTAGGTGTGACTTGGAGGGAGAGGGCTCCTTGAGGAGCTCACCCCTGTAGGCATCAACAAGTACAAGGACTGTCAGAGCAGGGGCCGTGGGTGCCCTTGAACTCGGGGTGCGAGAAGATGTGCTGACTTGGCCAAGTTAGGGGCAGAAGTGGGTGGTCTTGGGGTTCTTCCTCAGGCAGTGTGGGGCAGGGGGAGGCTCCTGGGGCTTGAGAAACGGAACCTGGATAAGCTGCCGGATTTTACAGTTATCTTCTGGCCCTGAAAATGTGTATCTTGGCAACTGTGTATAAGCCATGTTCAAATCCTGCCACAATCTACCTCCATTTCCCTGTCTTATATCATATCCTCCCCGCACACTTCTGGTCCTCACGCTTGGTACTTTTGCCCCTTCCTGCAGTCCCTGTATTTTCACACGGCCTCCCTTTGTTCATGCTGCCCTCTGCCTCCAGTATCCTTTCTCCAGCTCTACCTGCAAAATCGTTTCTCAGTACTTAGCTTAAGGACCCTCTCTGGTACCCCTGAGCGGACACAGGCCCCCTCCTGCTCCCCGTCCCCTCCGGCATCATGCACCCCTCACGGCAGCGGTCATGTTGCCCCGCTCTGCTCTGCCAGCCACACGTGAAGTTCCTGCCCTGGGTGACAACTCAGCAAATGAGGGGCTGGCGCAGGCAACACCCACAGGATTTACCAAACTGGGGGACGTGTGCCCCTGTCCGTGATGGGCCCACAGCAGGGTCCCTGGGGGCAGTTAAAACAACCTGCCTTGTTCTGCACGATGCCATATTTTAATGATGCTGAGTCGTTAAAGGAAAAATTCTGAAGTTTCCATTCTTCGTTGAAACAGCAAAAGCTGGAACCAAACAGAATGGTCTTTATGTCCTGTCAAAAGAAGAGAGAATTGCATTGGTTGTTTAAAAAGCAAACAACAGTACACTGCTGGGTGTCTGCATTCCCACAGGAGCTGGTCTTGAGTTCTAGCAGGGTAGTCTGTTTTCCAGCAGGGTAATCTGTTTTCTTTTTATTTTGCAAACCCATTCTTCTCATATTTGAGGACAGAGAAAATGGACCCTCAGGGCCTTACCTCTGGAATATCTGTAAACCTTACCAGCCTGTGCTGCCCCAGGCCAAAATCTTTTGAGCTTCCTTAGAAGTTCCTTGATACACAAAATTTTAGTTTTACAAAAGACCTTGGAGGTTCTTGACTGCATATTATAATTACCTACAGAGCCCTGAACAATCCTGACGCCCAGGCCCCGTGCCAGGCCAACTAAAGCAGAACCCCTGGGCGTCGGACGCTGGCATCTGTACTATTAAAAGCTCCCCAGGTGATTCCAACGTACAGCCAAGTTTGAGAACTGGTGCTCTAGCAAACTGTGACCCATACGCCAAATCCGACCCTCCACTTGCTTTGTAAATAAAGTTTTATTGAAACACAGCAATGCCCATTTGTTTACATGTTGCCTGTGTTTTCTTTTACATTACAATGGCAGAGCTGTGTGGTTGCCACCGAGAGGCAAAAATACACTATGTAGCCCTTCACAGAAGAAGTTTGCCAACCCCACACTGGTACAACCCCTTCCTACATGTAAGGATCTCCTCTGCAACATCACCGGAGAGCGGTTCCCCCCATAAACTTGGCTTGAACACTCCAACCGCCAAGTGAAGAGGGTTCCCACCACTTCCCAAGGCAGCCCCTCCATTTCTTCACGGCTCTGTGTTCTCAAAACTTCTGGCTGATACGGATCTCCCATCAACCCAAGCCTCACCCTCCAGAGCCCCAGAAAGTGCCAACCCCTCCCCACTGACCAGCCCGTGGATGGGAAAGCAGAGCCTCATCTCCACTCGCCCCTTCCCCATGCCGGCTGCCTCTTCTCTCTCTGCCATGATTTTACATCCGAGAGTATCTGAAGGGCCAGCATGTGGATTCTGTCACTACCCGCTCAGACCATCTCTTTGCAGGTCATATCTTCCCTACAGACTCACGTTTCCCTCTAGAATCGGTTCTTTTTTTTCTTTTCACTAAGTACAAGGAAAATCTCTGTGACAGAGCGTTTGTCTACACGTCATCACATGTGGGCTAGTGGCACACAGGAGAGAGGGGTGGGTAAATTCATCTGTCAGGGCTTGGTTCCCCTTCTTGCACCAACTACGATCATCGATGTATTTGGACTGAGTTTCCCAAGAGCCTAGAAACTATAGGACCTTGAGTTTTCTGGCTGAAGCCCATGTCTATTCTCTCAATCACAGAAAGACAGCTCCCAGCTAGGCACAGTATGGTTGCCAGGTCCCAGGGTTACGAGCCTGGAAACCTGGGTCCTGCTTGCTGTGGCTGTGGACACCACGTGTGCTGGGTCCTCCTTTCTCTGTGTGGGCCTCGGTTTTTTCAGCTGCTTTTGGAGATGCTACTACTGGGTGGTCTTTAGAGGCCGCTGAGGACCCTTCACCAAATAGCGGTACCCACTGCAAAGAATCATAGCCCTGCGGCTACAGACAACCAGGCTTGGGGCTACTTAACTGTGACTGACCCTCTCCCTGTGGTTTCAAAAGAAGGAAGGGAAAAGGAGGAGAAGGATGGGGAGGAACAAAACCTCTAGAAAAACCTTTGACTTTTCATCTGCGTGCTGAGTAAATACTTGGTAAGCAGGAAGAGAACACGGTCAGCTGTGTCCCCAGGAGTTTTATTTTTCCCTCCTGGATCCTGGCTGAAAAGCCAGTGGAGGACAGCAGGGGCAGCATTCCATCCCGCAGGAACCACTGGCCACGGAGAAGGGTGAGGCCCTATGGCAGCAGAGATGGTGAGGAATCCAGGACATCCCCACAGAGGAGGCTGCTGAGGCCAGGAACCGGCTCCCGAAGCCCTGTGACTCCAGGAGGTCACTGGTGTGAACCCAGGTGGCGCTGAGGAATTGGTAACACTTCCCTGTCCTTCCCTCACTGCAGCCCAGCCTGAGCCCAGCTCAGGGGACCAGTGCAGGAGCACAGTCAAGCTAATGAGGACAACTATCCCGTTCCCATCGCAACCCTGGAGTTACCGGCTGCGGACATGGTGAAGCAGAGCTCTGGACCAACAGAAAAGCTGGATTCCAGAATGTTTGAATGGGAGGAGGTTGTATCCTCACCTCTAGTCTCAGAGAAGGAGAGGGAGATGCCAGGACTAGGCCCTTGTTTTCCTGACTCTCCGTTCAGGTTTTCTTCCACATCACATGCAAATTTCCATTTTAACAGTGACTGAGAGATTATAACAGGATGAATGGAGCCAGAGAGATGAAAATCACCTCATCGGGCTTCCCTGGTGGCACAGTGGTTGAGAGTCCGCCTGCCGATGCAGGGGACACGGGTTCGTGCCCCGGTCCGGGAAGATCCCACATGCCAAGGAGTGGCTGGGCCCGTGAGCCATGGCCGCTGGCCCTGCGCGTCCGGAGCCTGTGCTCCGCAACAGGAGAGGCCATGGCAGTGAGAGGCCCGCGTACCACAACAAAAAAAAAGAAAATCACCTCATCCACACCAACTCAAACCCAGATGCCTTCAATTCACACCAACTCAAATCCAGACACATCACCTGGCACTTTTCAACTGACACCCACCTTTGCCACTGAGAGGTCGATGGGCTTTGACTCTACTTGCAGCTTGAGTATCGATGGCACTGGAGACAGGATGACTTCTTCCCTTAGCTGTTCATCCTCCACATCCTCTGAAAGACAACCGTGGCCACGTGAGCTCCTTGTTATGACTCACAGAGAACAGACTAGGAAGCCGTGTAACGCCCAGGACGCTGATGAGTCTTGAGGTGGCTGGAATGAGAGGAGGGCTCCTCCACCACCCACCCCCTGTCCCCGCTGAGGCTCCCAAGCCTTCATCAGAAGGAGAAAGGCAGAGTGAGAGCCCTTGCTCCGTGTCACCCCACGCTGGTCCCAGGATGCTGGCAGATGGGACTTGGCTATCAGTCCACTAGAAAGCTCTGCTCGTGGACGTGCAGAAACAAGGGCCTAGGCCTAAGCTGCGAGTCAGGCCCAGAAAAGCCTGGCTCAGACACAATTCTTACGAAAGGTGGGCGTGACCCACAGATCTGTCCCCCTGAGGACAAACATGAAGAGGGCGGAATTAGGAAAGAAAATGCCGCCCTTCCTGCGAGAATAATAATAGTTATAATAGATTATCACTATCGTGGCTTTCATTTACTTACCATCTGGGTTTTATCATCTAAGCCCCAGAACAGCTTCCACGAGAGAGTATCATCATCCCATTTAAAGATGAGGAAACTGAAGCTTAGAGAAGTTAAGGAACTGACCAAAAGTCACACAGATGGAAAGTTGCAGAGATAGAACATAAACCCAGGCCAACTCCTAATTGCTCGGCCATCCTGCCAGTCAGACCTCCCTGGACCTCCAGCCAGAAGGGAAACTAAGTCACATTCTCATAGCTGGGGTGACTGAGGCCCAGAGAGGGTCCCGGCATGGGTGTTGCCAGCATCAGCCTGTGCTGTCCCAGCCGGTGAGGCTCCCTCTCGCCACCATACGCACTGCCGCGGCATCTACCAGAACCCTCAGAGGCAGGACCCAAGTGAAAACAGCCCAAGGCAACGATGCTGGCAAAGCTGGGCAGGCCGGTCTCCAGAGAGCCTCTGGAGACTTTTTCCATCCCGCTTTCCCCAAGATTAAATGCTTATTTAAAACGCACGCCACGCTGTATAGAAACCAACATGGCCTGCCCTAATTCTGTGCATCTGGGACTACAGAAACGTCACAGTCCCTGCCCCGCATCTTCTGAGACGGTGTGCAAAGGCCAACATCCCCAGAACACGCGCCATAAACCTTATTCCACAGCCTCCTTTTCTCCCCTGGAGGAGGACCAGGCACAGCACGAGGCTCGGTCCACTGAGATGGAGACAGATTTTACCTTCAGGGTGAAACAAAATTTTTAAACAAGTCTGGAATTTAAATGAGAACCTTTCTTAGTTAGGGTCTCTAAAAAAGCCACCCTGTGACCATGGCCTTACAAAAACACCTGAAATAAAGACCAGATGTTCACCCAGCAACACACACGGGTCTTGAAAACATGGCTCTGGGTAGAGAAAGTAAGGAAGCAAATGGGGTGTATAACACAACACGATTTACATCCATTATAAACACATGCACACAAAACAACACTAAGCATTTTTGCAAGAACGTACACAAGCAGAAAGAAATCACTAAATACGTGAGAGTGGTTGCTTACGGAGACAAGGGTCATGGGAGTGTGGCACGAGGCTAAAGGGAAATCAGGAAGGAAAGGCAAGAGGGAGGCCAATGAGCAGGCTCTGCAAAGGTCAATACTGAGAATGTTAATTAAGCAACAGAGATGTGTGATTAGTCCAATGCTAGGCATCTGAGGGCCAGAACAGAGCGGGAGAGTAACTGAGTGATTCTGCCAGGCCCCGAAGGGTCCTGATGCCTCAGCCAGACTGTTTCCTGGAGGCCCGGAGCGGGCAGGATTTAAGCCTATTTGGGGGCTTCTGTTTAGTCTAAGGCTGTCCTGAAGGGAACAAGGGCTGAAACATGCTCTGTCTGAGCCCCATGAACTAAGTCTGAGGCTGGAGGCTGGGGGCCCAAAGGGGGCTGACTGATGGAGCCCCCAGGAACAGGCAGCCTCCCTCGGCTTCTGCCAGGAGGCAGCTGGCGCCTGTGCAGGGAACTGGTTCAGGACCATGAGGCAGGTCCAGATGTGGCGGGATGGCCGTGCAAAGGAAAACAAAGCACTCCAGCATGACGTGTTGGCCAAACAGATAAAACCAGCTGCAAACGCCAGTGGCTTGAAAATGCTATTTTTAAGGCCCTGGTGTAAATGGCTGGTTGAAAAGAAGCAAGGGATTTTGTTTCCCATACCATTTTATTTACCCTTTGGAGGAAAACATATACATATACTTGGTAGTACTTAATAGAGGCCCGTATATCTCTTTTTCCAGGTTCCCACCCAGTACTTCACACTAACTGCAAGATATCTTCTCCTGGAAGTGCCCCAATGCCCCGGACTCAGGGTTCTCAGCACAGAAGCCTTCCAGGCTTCCATTTTGGTAAGACTCCATCTCCCCAACCCTCCACCAGGGACCCAGGCCAAAACCTCAACCCTCTCCCACACGCCACGCTGCTCCGGCCTCCAGATTATACTGCCTCCAGAATCCTCATACGCTGCCCCCCGCCTTCTCTCCCCACTGTTACAGGAATGTGTTGTCATTTTTCTATTTGTTCATCAAGCACTTTACTGAGCACGCATGATGGGCCACTGGTTATGTGGGACGGAGGAGGTCCAGAGATGGTGAAAACACCACCCCTGGCTTCAAGGAGCTCACTGCCTAGAGGGGGAGACAGAGCCCCAAACAAAGAACACGACGTTAGTGCTAATGGAGACGGGTGCAAAGGTTATAAGAGCAGAGGGGAAGGGGCAAATAATTCTGCCTTAAACGGTCAGGGAAGCTGCCCACAAGAGGTAAATATTTGATCAGGGTCTTGAAATACCCATAGGATTTCCCCAGATAGAACAGGGCCCCAGGCACCTCTTCTCTGGACTATTCCAAGAGACCCTCACCAGTCTCCCAAACGTGCAGACTCCAGCCCCTAAAATCCATCCTCCACGCACATCCAGAGATGGCCTCAAACATCGTTCGCTTCACATCTCTGCTTGACAAGACCTTGCTCATCCGTCAAGCCCAGTCTGAATGCCACCTCACTATGGAAACTTCTGGAACCCACCAGTCTTGGCCTACTCACCTCCTGAAGCAGTGAGGAGCTGCTGGTCATCCACATTGTGTGTTGCTATCAGGGGTCACCTCTATTCCTTCGTCTCACCCAGCCCCACCCTCCAAGAAGGCAAGGCCACTTTTCATCACAGCGATGAAAAGTGCCTTTGACAGCCCTGTATGTGCCCAGGCGTGTAATGCTAACCAAAGTTTGCTGACTTGAACCAAAGAAAGATGAGTTGGGATGGGGAAGGGAATGCTATTCCTTGTTTCTGACCCCCCACCCCAAACTACTCTTCCCCTTTCTCTGGGTGACTGGGTTGCACGCCCTCTTATCTTTTATCTCCGTCGTCTTCTCTAAATTGTCAGTTGAGCCACCGGCAAAGAGGGGTCAGCCTCCCTCCGGAAAAGGCACACACACTTCAAACAGCTTGGTTCTGAGAGAATTGCTAAAAGCCTTCCTCCCAATAGAAGCCCTCTGGGGTCCCAAGGCCGGGAACTTTATGTCCAAACAGGAGTGGCTTTCATTAGAAAATCTTAAAGCGCTTCACAGAAAGGCTTCAGATGCCAGCCCTTCCCGGCTCCGGCTTTCATGCTGCACAGCCGTGTGCCCAGTGAAATCTGCCCCTTCCTGGGTGGGCCAAATGATCCCACCAGCCATTTCTGATGATTAAAACTCTGAGGGGGCTTCCCTGGCGGTGCAGCCAATGCAGGGGACACGGGTTCAAGCCCCGGTCCAGGAAGATCCCACATGCTGCGGAGCAACTAAGCCCGTGAGCCACAACTACTGAGCCTGCACTCTAGAGCCTGTGAGCCATAACTACTGAGTCCGTGCGCCACAACTACTGAGCCCGCGTGCCACAACTACTGAAGCCCGCGCGCCTAGAGCCCGTGGCTTCTCTGCAACAAGAGAAGCCACCGCAATGAGAAGCCCGCACAGTGCAACAAAGAGTAGCCCCCGCTCGCCGCAACTAGAGAAAGCCTGTGCGCAGCAACGAAGACCCAACGCAGACAAAAATAAAAAAACAAAAAACGAAAAAAAACAAACCTCTGAGGAACTCCTCTTACCTCTGAGAAGAACTAAGCAGAATAAACAAACCCCTGCCTCCATCATTCGGAGGCCTGCCCCTGCCTTTCAACTTCATCAAAGCAAACTGCCAGCATGTCTCACGCAAGTCACTTCTAAAGGGCGAGCTGCTTTCCTCCTTCATATTGAAGGCAGTGCTTAAAAGGAGACGAAAAGGGTGTGAGCAGCTCTCAGCTCCTGTACGCCAAAATGGTCCAACAGGTAAATTGCTGGCTTCCAGGAGGAGAGCAAAGGTCAATGGCACTCAAGCCTCGTCCTTTCATGTCTGGTCCTTGGTTGTCCTCCTTTATTCTATTCTTGGCTTTTGCCAAGTCCTGCAAACCCATCAGTCTTTGGAGAGTAGAGAATTCCAGAAAGAGAGAGAAAAAAAAAAAAAGATGGCTTCAAAACGAAAGAGTGGATGGACATGTTATCTAGATCTTGCAGAGGGGGTACACAGATGTATACACATGTGAAAGGGCACTGAGCTGAACACTCAAGGTTTGTGCACTGATGTGCCTCACGATTTGTATTTTACACCTCAGTGATATGTGGGGGAAGATGTTTAAAGGATAGGCTTCTCCAGGCAGAGACATACTAATATTTTGACTGAGCACTGTCTTCTAGAGACTTCTATAGGTTCTGAGTAACCCTAAAAGAACCTGCAAATGCAGAAAAGGCTTTTCTGCCCCCTCTCTCCCAGTGTGGATGTAGAAACGTCCAGACTTCTTATAAGGACTTCTTCGGGAGAGATAGGCAGGGGAAGACGGATTTGGACATCAATCAAAAAAGAGAGAAGCCTGCTCTACTCACCGGGCCAGCCCCTCCTACCTGAGGTCAGGTGGGAAGAAAGGAGCCCCACCCCCAGGCCAGCAGAGAGCGCTACCACCCATTACCTCCCAGACAGACCAAATGAAGACCCCCTGGGCCCTGATGGGCACAGCACAGAGGCCCCAGTGGTACCCACCAAGCTGCAGCACACCGAGCTCACCGTCGACCTTATTGGATGCTGGCAACTGATTACTCCTAGAAATAAAAAAAGGAAATGTCAATGCACCATAGGAGAATGACAGAGAGATGCAAACAGCAGAGAAGAGTGGGAGGAGTACTGGATGGGGCTTCAGGAGGTGGGTTCTCTCCAGCTCTGGCCCGGTTCTGTGTATGCCTTGCACCAGCACTCTCCCTCACTGAGCCACAGGTTCCGTATCGGATGGGACCAAATCACCTCTGGGGCGCTTTTCAATTCTGCACACACACACACACACACACACACACACACACACACACACACACACACACACCAACCAATATAGGTCGATGGACCCTGTAGTTTGACACTTGCCGAGAACCGAATGCAAGCTAATTTGCTGATGCCACTGTAATACTGCTGGGAAACACATTCACACGTGCACGTGCACACACACATCAAGTTCCTGCAATCACTGCACAGATTTTATCTCATTTTTTTGTTTGTCTCCTTTCTCCCAGCTTTCTTGTAAAGCTATCAGCAGCCATTTATCAGAAACCTCAAGAATGCACCAAAGAATACATACGGTGGTCCTGACTTGTAAATTCAGAGATGTGCACACAGAGCTTTCTTTAAAGGGCCCACCTGTGTTTCAGCTCTCTTTGGATCTTTTTTCCCTCCAGCATGCATCGATCTGAACTGAAGTAAAATCATTTTTTAAAAAGAATGTATTAAAAATAACAACATTACATCACCCCCTTGAAAAATTCATTTACAATGTTAAAAATGACAGCTCTTTTGAACGTGGCATTGAAATATATTTTCCTCCAACATCCTTGCAGGCTAAGATATGATTGAAGTAACAATCATAATCTTGCCACGGTAGGTTCTATTGAATTGGCTTCCTCCTGAAGATGTATGAAGGGGCGTGAGTGGAAGACCACGGAGGACGCGCAGTACCGAATCCCTGAGCACGTCCTGCTCTGGACTCCGGGTTTCTTCCTCTGGCGCTGGAACACAGAGCTCCTCCACCCGCCTCCCAGGCGGCCCCTCATCCTCCCCCACGCAGCTGAGCCCATTTTCCTCAACTCAGAGCCACAAAATTCCTACGCCCCTAGGCTACCAGGATTCTGCAAGTGTTCTTGTGGGGAATGGTGAGAGAACAAGCTGGAAAGGGGAGCTAAGGCACGGAGGGGCAGCAGGAGGATGTAGAAGGGAGGGGGGGCACACAGACACTGTGCCCCCCTCCCCAGGGCCCAGCAATAAGGAGCTGCACTTTCATCAGAAGCCTCCACCAGCCAGCCACCCCTCGCCCCACCCCCATCCTCACTGCCACTAAAGCCGAGGACCCCATCCCTTCCATCCCCTGTGTCACTATTTCACCCAGAGACTCAGGCAAGGTGTCTGAGAAGCAAGGACTGAGGCGCAGGTGCTAGATGGTCTCTAAAAGCCACCTTGCACCATTCTGAGCTGGGAACATCAGCAGAAAAGACATCTCTGGAACACCCTGATGGCAACAACATCTCTCTTGGACCCATCTCTGCTCTCTGCCTCTTCGTCTCTCACCCAGATCATTCTCACAGCCCCCTAACTGGTTTCCTGACCCCCCGTGTGATGCCCCACCCGGTGCTGGTCCCCACATCTTCACACGAGTGTCAAAGGCATCTTTCTAGAAAGCAAACTTGACCATGCCACGGCCTGGCTGAAATTCTTCAAAGGTTCCCCAACATCGTCATCAACAAGAGACATGATATTTATAAACAATGATGGCAATTATAGCGGCGGCAAATACTTTCTGATTCCTGTGACTGTTGCAGGCACTGTGCTAAGTGCTTTGCAGGCATCAAAAGTCATCTGCTCCTCAAAAGAGCCTTAGGAAGTAGTCAGGGCACTGAGTCTCAGAGAGGTCCAGTAATTTCCCCAGGGTTACACAGCATGTAAGTGGCAGCACAGGGATCTGAACCTAAGCAATGACTCCGAAGATGATGGCAGCAACCATGACATACACTGCTTCCTCGTAAGACAAAGCCCAAGCCCATTAGTGTGCCCTCTGGGCTGCCTGTGACCTGGCTACGTACCGCCCCAGCATCACCTCCCTCTGCGCTCTCCCACTCCACCTGCACGTCCTCCACGCTAACTTCTCAGCCCACGCCTCCACACCTTTTCACAAGCTGTTCACTCCACCTAGAATATCCCTTGGCAAGCTCACACTCATCCTCTACAGCCCCGTTGGAATGTTACCTTCCTCTCAAATGCAAAGCATGCATTCATTCATTTCTTCACTCACTTAGCAAACATGTGGCAGCTGTCCAGCAGGGCTGTCTCCCTGCCCCAGGGAGACCCAGTTGCGTACAATAAACAGACATAAATTGCACTGTGACATGCTGTGGTAGGCTGGATAATGGTCCCCAAAGATATCTGCATCCTAATCCCTGGAAATGGAAAATGGTACCTTATATGGCAAAAAGAACTTTGCAAATGAGATTAAGTTAAAGATTTGAAGTGGAAGAAAGTAGCCTGGACTATCCGGGTGGGGGCGACCTAATCACAAGTGTCCTTATAGGAGGGAGGCAGAAGGAGATCTGACACAGAAGAAGAGAGGTAGGATGACGATGGAAACGGAGGTTGAAGTGATGCACTTTGAGGACAGAAGAAGGGGCCTCAAGCCAAGAAATGCGGGTGGTCACTAGAAGCTGAAAAAGGCAAGGAAACAGATTCCAGTTGATAAAGGACGAGCCCTGCCAACACCTTGACTGCAGCCCACGGGAACTGATTTCAGACTTCAGTCTTCCAGAACAGTGAGATAATACATTCATGTCGTTTTAAGTCACTAAACTGTGGTAGTTTGTTGTAGCAGCCATGGGAAACATACACACAGTAAGAGAAACAATCACGGAGGAACAAAGGACTGTGAGGTCCCCTTGACTGCCTCTGTATCCTGCGTGCCCAGCACCTAGCCACTGCTTCATACATGGGTGCCAATACCAGAGTGACCCCCACACAAGCTAGGTGACTCACACGGGTCACCTGCCTTAGAGGTGCCGGAGCCAGGGCTCAAACCCAGGCCCCTGGCTCCAAATGCTCTGTGTTGCTCTGTTTTCTACTTTATGCTTCCCTTCCCCACCCAGAACCCTCCATGGCTTCCTGTGGACCAGGAGACAAAGTCCAAACCTCCCAAGTTGTCCCCTTGGCTCCCAAGGGCAAAGCCGCAGGGGCACGCGGATGGCCACGCGCCGTGAGGAGAGGGCGGGGATGATGTTCCCGCTGTGTAGGGTACAGCTGGGCCTCTTCCCGGTCATGAGACGTCCACCCTAGACCATCCATCAGCTGCGAGAGCCCAGCTCAGATGCTTTGTGCCTTTTCCCATAGATCTCTTCAACAGAGGAGACTTCAGGAATGCTCACACTTAGGGAATGCCCTATTGTTCCTTTTATGTGTCCCTTTGTGGCATAAGCATTACAAAGTTTAAAAGGTCAGTTTAAAAGCATGTTCTTGCCTTTGAGTGAAAACTATTATGAAAAACAATGACAAAAAGATAAATCAAGGATTCAAAACACTTTTTAAAAATGCGATTGTGCATATGACCTGGAGGCGTGTGTCCAAGTGCGCATCTAATAAATCCTCGGGAGCCAGGCTGTAAACACGCGCTTGCCTGCGGGGTCTGAGGTCTCCACCTCCCAGCCAAGCTCCTCTTCGTGCCCCCAAGGGAGGGGCAAGGGCCAGGGCATCGCAGGTGTCGGGGGCTACGTAGGGCCAGGACTCAATCCCTGGATCACTGGGTCTCGGGTGGGTAGAAAGTGCCACTCAGAGACCAGAGTTCTTGTCTCTGATCCCCCCGACTCTGAGTGACCTTGGGCAAGTCACCTACCTCTGTGGGTATCAGATGCCTCATCTGTACCTTGGGGAAAGCCTGAGCAAGACCACTCGCTGTGGAACATGACCAGGTGCAGGGGCTCTGAGAGGATTGACGTGCCTGGGTCCCGTTATTCTTGGAGATGCTCAACTGCTTACACACCCAACACTCAGAACAGTTCACCGGCTCTCAGCATTAAAATCAGACAAGGAGATGCTCCTTCCTCTGTGTTTGGTACTGGATACTTGGCTAAATGAGTTATGATTACAAAAGAAAGATATTCCATGAGAAGAAAGATACTGATCACTTACTATACATTCTATTCGATGGAAACACTGAAGCCAGTGTGAATGGACCCCACGCATACAGCACAAGAATCCAGAACATAAGAAAGTTACATACAATTTTCCCGAGCCAGTGATATGCCAGCACACCTTAACTCGAGCCATGTAAAATCATCTGGGGGCACTTCTACAGAGCAGGTCACACAAGATTCCCCGGAGGAGGGAGAGCTGTTGTTTTTTTTTAAGTCCCACTGAAAATATGCTCAAAACAAAAAACTGTTAAATATGTGAGAAAACGATCCACCGTAAGTGAAAGCCAGCTGACACAGTACGTAGGATTCCTAAGAACTTGAGATAATAGAACAGCAATCTAAAAGAGGCTGTAATTAGAGAGAGTAGGGGAACTTTTTAAAAAAGGAATGGAAATCATGCGAAAAGAAACAGACACTCTGAGAAAAGAATGGGCAACTCTGAAAAGCAAATACAGTCACGGAAGTAAGAAAACTCTGGGGCATATAATGATGGTGATGGAAAATAGCATATCAAATACATATTTTTTAAATCCACGAGTCTGCTTCTAGAGGAGGAAGGAGGGCAGGGATAGATAACAGAAAGCTCTTCTCTGTAAAACACTGTCAACTACTAATAAATGGAAAAGGAATGATAAAACGACAAAAGTTAGAAAATCGTGATTTTATAAATTCCTAATACGGGAAAAGATCACCAATGGATGTTCAAACCATGGGCTAAAAGGTTTCTGAGGCACAGGATAGTCATATGGTCTGAAAGTTACAGATTCCTCATTAATTCCAATAACAGAGAGATTGGCAAAACCCTAACGGACTGACCCAGCTTAGCATCACCAAAAATAAAACAAACTGATGTTACCGTGCCCCCGATGTGATGTACTGGGAAGTACATC